TCTTCGGAATTTGTTTTATCTCATTAATTCCTGGGCACTCCTATATCGATTCAGGATCGGATATCATCCACTTTGGAGATTACTATATATAATGTTCACAAAGTCCAGGAAATCATTAAATACCTATCAAATTTCAATTAACTTAATCAGTAATTTAACCGATTGATTGATTACTTACGCTAATATTATATTTAATTATATTAATGATCGTCATACTTTAATATTGCTTCATTTTTATATATGTTAAAAACAACAAAAAATTAATAAATTATATTTTATATTAAAAAAATGATACAGCTACTTATAATCGATAGAATTACTTATTAATTTTCAACTATATATATACAATTAATTCATACAGTCTCTATTTCTTTTATATATTATATTAAAATTAAACAAAATTAATAGATCTATGTATGTAAAATGTAAATATTACGCAATAGTATTACGATTACCTGACAAATCAATCACTGATTAAATTAATTGAAATTTAATCGAGCTTTGGTCGTCATCCTCAATCGGCGACGAGGTCAGTTTACACGAAGGTGATTTTCTCTCCGTGATGAAACGAAAATAGCATCGTGCCATCGTGTAAACCATGCATTACGATGTGGTTACGTCACGAAATGTTATCACGCTGATCGCGGTTGTCGCCCCTTTCTTTTTGTGATAGCGAAATTGATCTTATGCAAATAAAGGGTTCGGTGACACGTATGAAACCGAGGAGAGATGATCGACAAACGTTGTCTCGTTGTCCCCATGATTGTAGTCATCTCACATAACCTCACCTAACCTCGAAGGGGCTGTGTTGACGTTTCTCCACGTCTCCCGGCGGGAATCTCGAAATATTCTCATGCTTCTGTCGAATCGATCTGAAAATGCCGCCGAACATCCTGAAGAGCAGCCTGGAAAACGCTTCGTTCAGCATTATATTTCAGGTACGCTGACAAAACCGGTGTTGCGTAGGAGAGTTCCTTAATTTGCGAACGACCCGAATGTCCTGAAGTGCTCCCTCGAGGGATCTCGCTGTATTTGCACCAAGATATACCCTGCACGATGTCCAAATTCGTTTCAATCTAAGAGCACCGACCAGAGATATAATATACTTCTACGTACATTGACGGATGTCACGCCATGCAAGATTTCACAGAAACCGACTCTTCTTCCGCAGATATTCTGTCGCTGCGTTACATTTGTCCTGAACGCATTTGTTGTCCGTCATGTGGGCCAGGCAGTCCTCGGCGTTATTAATGTGAGACTACTCCTACTGGAATCCATGATACTGTTCCTGTCACGCGAGCCGTTTATGAAAGCATGTCTGACTAACACGGCGGAGCATAATTGGGCCCAAGTTGTGAATCTACTTTGGCTAACGTTAGTTCACTTATTACTATGATATCTTTGAAACTAAACTGATCAGTCCCAAATGAAATAAAAAAATGGAAAAAAATTGATAAAATTGTAAAACCTAATCGTGTGCTATTGAAATTAAGAAATTTATGAAAAAATATCAATCAGTTCAGTTTCTGAGGGATTCAATCATTCTCCTGTAACAAAATTGTATGGATTAATTAATGCATTTTTAGAGTACCCATATGCGTTGCGATGTCCTTCCTGTTTGGATACATTTGGTTGTTCCTGCTCTCCACCACAGAGACGTTACCACCGTACTACACGTTTGCAGTTTTGGCAGTCGGACTGTCGTGTATCATAGAATTGTCTTCCTTAGTCGTTCAATTAGTCGCGAGCGCATTTCTCTTCGTTAGACTTAAAGTAAGGAAATTGAAAAAAAAACACGTAAGATCTTCAAAACATAGTCACGTTCCACTATCATATTTGTTCTTCCAGATAATTCTGGACACTATCATGATCGTTATTCGCACTATGACGTTTGTCCCGCTAATATTGTACCATCCGGAGAACGCGTTACTCGCGTTCGGCATCGCTCAGCTTGTTGCGGCAGTATTTTACACAACCAGCCATTACGCATACTTTCACCATCACATCAAGAAACTGAACGAATGCTCGCAGAAACGAAGAATGTCCTTGAAAGACAGTAGTGACGAGTACGTGATGAGGGAGTTTCCTTTTCACGCCATAAAAGATTTTTTACCGGGCGAGCTAGAAAATGATGTATGTATTAAATGCCTTGTTTTATATATTATCATCTTGTAAGAACAAAGTACAACAGTTACTCCGTAGGATTCCTATCTCGATAGAAAGTTGACTGTTCTCACATGGAGCTTCTTTAGACAAGGGATATTAAAGCAGATTTTGACAGAAGGCGAAAGATTGATCATGACCATAATACCAGTATTGACGTTTACAGAACAGGTTTGTGTCAATGTATGCTACAATATCGTCATCATGCGCTAATTTTTTTTTCCTTTAAGGGTGTCTACGAGATTGTGAACAATATGGGCTCGCTAGCTGCTAGATTTATTTTCCGTCCAATCGAGGATAGTGGATACTTTTATTTCACGCAGATGGTAAAAAGGGATAAAAGGATATCCGATCAGAATCCAGTGAGCTTCCGTTGCACCCTTCCTTATATTTACTATAAAATTTTACGTACAGTCGTGGACAAATCGCGGTTGCGACACTTTTTTTTAATAGGTTTCTAATATATATTTAATATACAAAATATATATTTTATAGGTAATTAATATTTTGCAAATGCGAACCACGATCTATCTTTAGTCTTAGAGACAGTATAACACCAATCGTGGTTCGCATTTACAAAATATTAGTGTTTTGAAATCTATAAAAAAAAGTGTCGCAACCGCGATCTGTCCACGACGGTACATATTTATGAATCATGATATTTTCAGGTAACGGTACAAGAGAGTGTGAATGTGTTGACGCATCTGTGCTCCGTCGTTACGTGTATCGGTCTGATCGTCCTAGTATTCGGCCAGTCTTACTCGAGCTTGTTGCTCTGGTTGTACGGCGGGTCAAAACTGACCTTACCCTTACCTGTTCTCTTGCTGAGGGCGCACTGTCTCGCCGTGTTACTGCTGGGAATCAATGGCGTGACCGAATGCTACACTAACGCAACGGCCGACAGTGCGACCATAAACAAGAGCAACTTGATCATGGTCTACCAGTCGATCGCGTTCCTGGGCGCGTCGTATCTGTTTGCCACTTGGTTCGGCCCGGTCGGCTTTATCTTCGGCAACTGCGTGAACATGAGCCTGAGAATCATACACTCGGCGAAATTTATCAATAAGAGACACCAGGACACGGTCTACCGTCCATTACGCGGATTGGTGCCAAAGCCCATGTTCTCCACGTGTCTACTCGTCGCAGCGTTCGTCACCAATTTGTCGCACGTAAAGTATCCTTGATGTGACTTTATATACGTATGCACGAGGAAGAATATAATGTTAAGATAATCTCTTCCGTTTCAGGCTTACTTCTTCCCAGCTGAAAAAGCATTACATCTACTGATTGGCATAACAATGTTCATGGTTGTACTTGTGTCTTGGCTATATGAAAATCATGAATTAATCAAGCTCGCCACTAACAAGTGGTACGAAAGAAGAAGCAAACAGAAAAAGAGTGACTGAATCCTATAAACATGTACTTTAAATTATTTTATTTATGATTTGTGTATAAATCAACTACAGATTCATTGCAAGATCTTGTAAAATGCTAAAAGATCATATATAAACAGTTATTTTTTTCTACAGCTAGTTGAAATTTATTATAAATCTCTAAACGATGAGAATCTTAGATAAGATTCTCAGACATATTAAGTCTCCTCTTATTAACCATTCGCGTATACTTAATATCTAAATAATAAAATATTTTTGTAAAAAAGACATCTTATTTCGGATATAAATAAGTTTCAGCCATATATGCAATAGCGATTATTTCAAGTCGACATGTCTTTGTATATAGCACCGACTACGGGTTCCTTACGAAGTATAATGCACTGCCTGAAAATCAGAGTGAAGCACATTTTTTGTGTTTAGAAATTTTATGTTTAAAAATATCGCGAAAAACTTGTCGACATTTCACTTACCTATTATCATTTTGAAGCGATATAATTGGCGATCCAGATTTCGGCTCCAGTTTAGCAACTAGATCCGCTATGGCCGCTATCAACCCAGCACTGTCGCTCGATGCATCGCCCTTGACTGCAAAAGTTTATTTATGATTTTAGGCCTGTTCCTTATAGCCAAACTTCCTTATAGCTGCACCAGTTCAAAGTTTATCTTTCTTCTTCCAATGTAGAAGGAGAAAGATAAACTGTAAACTAGTGCAGCCAGTATTCGACTATAAAGAACAGGCCTTTTTGTTTCTGTCATGCATGAACTTCATGCGATTGCAATTTTCTTGTAATTTAAATTTTCTCAATTTGCATCTTTGACTTATTACCTCCTAGGCAGAGACCGGCGTGATCAGCCAAGACGCAGCCAACGACGCCTTCCTTATCATACCTACAGGACACAAAAACACTTATTGTATACATATATACATACTGATTAAAAGACTGATTAATAACAAGATACAAGATAGATATCATAAAAAACAAAGGTGGACGTACAATTGAATAATATCAAGTAATATTCACGACACAATATTCGTTATTAGCGATTAGAAATTCGAAAATGTTGAAAAAGCTCGCTCCGAGACAGATCGTTTCCTAACCTACACGTGCACCACTTACGTGTCATCCAATGTTTTCACCAAGTTTCGTTCCATCCTCGCGATTCTCGCGTGACGCTCGCGAAACCAATCGACGCGCGAGATCCGCAAAAACCAGCAGTTTTCGTAAAAAAAAAAAAGCAATTCGACGTCGAAGGAAGAACCAACGCGCGATTGCGATCAGGTTATCACGCGGGCGCCGCTCGAAGATCGCGTTCGCGTCGCTACGTGCAGTCTGACAGATCGCGACAATCGACATTCGCGCCGCGCGCGATTAATCGCGCCGCGCACACGCGTACCACGTGATCGGCCCCATGTACCGAGCGTCGCTTCAGTCGCTCAACGAATTTCATTATAATCTCTCATTACGCGGTAATTGAACTTTGCCCTTCCTCTCCGTCGCAAATTGTACCGCGCGAGCGGATTATGCACCGAATTAACTCGGGGGAGGTGTCGTGCATTACGTAACCTGGCGGAACTTGCATTTCATCGTGTTTCTCTCTTCGTTCCGTACTTTTTCTCTTTCCTTCACGCGCTCGGCGCCCGGCTTTGTTTTGAGAAAAAAAATTTATTGCGGTCCACAGAATCGTTCCCTCCCCTCCCCGTCTCTCTCCCCCTCCCTCCCCGCGTTTGCGCAACGCACGTTAACCGCGTATAAAATTGTCGAGGAAATCGTACCGCGCGAATATCGGTGTTTCTGGGACACTCGGTATAAGCCGCTACATACGTATATCGCGCGACGGGGCCGACGTGACTTGTTCAGTGACAATCATGGCTGGTAAGTAGAGAGATGTGTGTCTGTTTGTTGCTATTCTTTTGTTGGAAAATAAAACGTAAACAATCGAGGACAACGGATTTGTTGACCGCCATCTGGTTACATCAGATCAATTTGTTCTAGTGAAAAATGTTAATTCGCACATCCCGTAATAGTATCCGAATTTAAAGGAATTAAAACTCATGGGTCTTCTAAGTGAGCCAAGATAAAAGTTAATTGCAACACATCAGTAATAAAATGTTCAGATTTTAGAAGAAGCTAATTTTTTAAGGATTACATATCCTTCGTATCGATATAAGCGCGAGAAGAGCACCGTAAAAATATTATAGTTTCTTAATTATTTATTGTGACGTGAATTTAGGGGCATGGATGTTTTAATTCATGATGACAAAAGTTGCAACATATAAAAATGATTTTAAAATTTGAAGAGTTTATTTAATATAATTACAGTCTACTAAATATTTTTATCTGTTATTTTTATAATATTTAGGAATCCTCATATCGTTAATTAAATTTAAAAGAAAATATATTAAATAGGAAAAAATTGTATTTTGTTTTCTGTTATCAAATTGCATAACTTTTTTTTATTTTAATATTATAATTAATGAAAATGTCAAAATTATATATTTCTGTTTTACATATTTTTTAATTTATATAATGAAAATAAACTATATAATTATATTTTTCTTTATTTCAGAGATAAATCCTTACAAGAGTCTATTAAAATCCATCAAAATTGGATTAAAAGACTGCCAATATTATGATATTGGCAGTTTTGGCACAAAATATGGTAAAATTTTTGTTTGTCATTCATTTTTATATTCAGTGGATAATTATTTAAATGTATTCGATGTTTACCTTACAGACAGACTACCATTTTCCATTCGAGTTCTCCTGGAAAGTGCTGTCCGTAATTGTGACAATTTCCAAGTAACAAAAACAGATGTTGAAAAAATTTTGGATTGGGAAAACAATCAAATCAAGGATGGAGTTGAAGTGGCCTTTAAGCCAGCAAGAGTTATATTGCAGGTAAAGAAGTCTCTTCAAAATTTTTAAATTTTATCAGTTTTAGTCATGTGCAAAAAATATACTTAATGCTGTTTATCAAATTGCAAACAGGACTTTACTGGAGTACCGGCAGTCGTGGATTTTGCGGCGATGAGAGATGCTGTGAAGAGACTCGGCGGTGATGCTGATAAAATTAATCCAGTTTGTCCATCGGACCTTGTAATCGATCATTCGATACAGGCTGATTTTACAAGAAGGTACGGTTCATTGCTTCATCAACCATGTTTTGATTTTTGATGATAATAATAGGAAGTGTCAAAGGTTATCACATAAACTGAAAAAAATTTAACTACTGCAATGTTGCATGCGTAAGAGAAAAAGTTTTACGTAATATGCTTGATAATAAAGAGATACGAATACAACGCGAGAATTTTATTTTTATTTTTGTATTATACATTCCCAGATAATTTAATCTATATATAAATCTGACTGTCATGCGTGTTTCAGCAATGATGCCTTAAAAAAGAATGAAGAGCTTGAATTTGAGAGAAACAAAGAACGTTTCATGTTTCTCAAATGGGGCGCAAAGGCATTTAAAAATATGTTAATCGTACCTCCCGGAAGCGGTATCGTGCATCAAGTGAATTTGGAATACCTGGCGAGAGTAGTATTCGACACCAACGACCTTCTGTACCCTGACAGCGTAGTTGGCACTGATTCTCACACAACCATGGTCAATGGTCTGGGTGTACTTGGATGGGGAGTCGGTGGTATTGAAGCAGAGGCTGTTATGCTTGGTCAAGCGATTTCTATGTTAATACCAAAAGTCGTGGGATACAAATTGGAAGGTGTACTGAATCAATATGCCACATCTACCGATCTTGTTCTAACTATTACAAAGGTGAATGTTTTTTTTTTTCATTTAGATTATTAAAAATTTGAAGCTTTTTAGAGATATTTTTATTGTAATTAGATGTTTTATATATCTTTATAGATACGATTTTATTAATTTTTTTTAATGGATAAGTTTGCACATAGCAGTATATTTTTTTATATAATAATATTAAAAAATATCAATTATAATATAATTAGATTAAATATTATAAGCTTGTAAACTTATAATATTTACATTTACAGAATCTTCGACAAATTGGAGTGGTTGGAAAATTTGTCGAATTCTTTGGACCCGGCGTAGCGCAGCTAAGTATCGCGGACCGTGCTACTATTTCTAATATGTGCCCGGAATATGGCGCAACTGTGGGCTTTTTTGCAGTAGATGAACAAAGTTTGGCATATCTCAGACAAACAGGTAAAATTTTCTATCGATTATTGCATATTTTTATAAATAGCCTTCAATATGTGATTACTTTTAACGATATTTTACACAATATATAAATATATTTTTCTTTTATACTCTAGGTCGATCCGAAGAACACATTGATAATATTGAGAAATATCTTAAAAACGTACGTATGTTGAGGAATTATGACGACCCAAGCCAAGATCCCGTCTTCTCCGAGGTGGTCACGTTGGATTTGAACACTGTAGTTTCGAGTGTCAGCGGACCTAAAAGACCTCATGACAGAGTTTCAGTATCCGACATGCAAATTGACTTCAGAAATTGTCTTGTGAACAAGGTTGGTGCTCTAAAGATTTCTATACGAAATAGATTGCACTCACGAGCAAATTTATTTCATTACTTAATAAAATGAATCGTAATACTAATTGTCGATGATGCGTTGTACATACATGAAGCACGTATAACAATACGAGTATTCTAGGAAAGATGATTATTTGGTACATACAAGGGACGAATATTACCCAGTGACTTTAGAAATGTAAGTCAGCCTGGATTACATTCATCTCATGCTGTACCTCCGTTCTGTCGGCTAAAGATAAAATTAATTTAATCCTATTTTTTTTCTAAAAAGTTGCGTGGTACTCTTTTACTGGAAAAAAAAACATATGAATAAAAATGAGAATAATCGACAGAAAACTAGGTAACTTATTACTGTGATATGATTAGTTTATATTAACATATCACAATAAAAGTCCCTTTGGACTCTGCGACCGAAAGTTATCTACTTTCACGACAATGCAGTATTACGTAAATAGTCAAATCGAAGGTTTTTTTTTTTTTTTTTTTTTTTTTAAGACGGCAGCGATTCTTATACGTCGATTTATAATAGAGATTCTTTGATATGTTAACGTTGCGGTAAAACAAGCTCGATAGAGATATATATGTTTCACATGTATTAGTGATACTATTATTAAATTGCTGCGAAAAGCGTGTCCATTACCGTTGATATGTGATCGTCAACGGTGTTCCTTGTTGCTATGCCTCGAGCATCTTTCCTTTGCTGATCTAGCTTTATGATATTTCAATTCGACATATAGTCAGATCACCAAAGATAAATGAACGAGATGTAAAGTGATTTTTTTTTCCTGCGATATCTCTTACCATTAAAGACGAGTATATGATCTAGTCACAATTGTCACAAATTCTCACTTGTGTACCAGTCACATACTCGATCTTAACAGCAATACTTAGGAAAGTAATATGCACGTAGCGCTCTAAACGTCAGAAGTAGGATTTGATATTGGATGCAATCATCACCCGGTGAAGTTTCCATTACAACCTTACCGGATACGATCGCATCCAACAATATAATCCTCTATGCAATGCTGATATCGGTCGAATCCATGAATCCTAATAATATTCAATTTTTTTCCTAAATATTAACAAAAATTTCTTTCAAATGTTGAAAACAGATTAAGGAAAACTCAGCTGTTTCAGCTATTCTGATTATTTCAAGAAAATTTTCACCTATTGGATATTTCTTCAAATTTAAAACTTGTTACACACAAGATAAAGATTTGGATAGATATCCAAAATTATTATAAATGCCCATCGATACTCACAATAATTGTTTGTTGATAATATCTCCAATAGTCATCGAGATCTCTTCATCTTTAAAATCGCAGAACACAATGCCGAACTATAATATTTACACGACACAGATTTACTAGCAAATTAGATAAAAAGGATCGCACTAACAAAGAATTCAGTACTTGGATTTGTTGCTCATTGTAAATGAACTGCTGACACCTGTAGTCGTCTTATCAGGCTCTTTTATAGAAACCTTTATCTCTATTTCTGACTTCTTGCTCTTTTATTAAATTTAATGATATATAATCTCCTAAGTATTTATCACTAATATTTAACACTAAATTTTCAACCAGATGATCCACAAGAAACAAAAAATTATGACAAATTTTTGAAAATTATGTTTCGTAATAACTTTTACAACAATGAATCTGGATTGCTACTGATGCAATCCAGATCGATGTACAGTTTTATGGCACTGCAGAGAATTTCATTAAACATACGAAAAGCATACGAAACGTAAAAAATGTTTATCAAGCAAATTATTATATTACTTAACTCGCGGTCACATCGAGAAAGTCGCGGTCTTAATCCGATAAGCGAACCGCGGCGAATGATCGCTCAACGAACGGAAACAATACGTGTTTAAGAACGTGCCGATCGATTTCTATTCGAAATGTTCAACATTGGCGTCGCGTTACCTGGCCTATGACAGGCACAAGGACATTTGCCGAAGAAACTCATCCACGTGAATCACAAAGCTAACGCTTCTTCCGCATGAAATTCAATTCCTCTCCAATTGAGGCTGATATTGAAGAGCAATGAGAAATATACTTTTATCGGTATAAAGTCAAAAATTTTAAATTAAACCCGTATCAAATTACGATAATAATTTTTTCTATCAATTTAGAATCTTTTGTATAATGAGAATTTTGAATTGTATTAAATTTAAGAAATTTTACAAACTTTGAAACAATTTTAATATCTTATGACAAGATATATTTAATGACAGGATCATTAATTTAAAAATATTCTAATAACATTAAATTATTATTCATTTGCTTGTATTAATTTTTTTATTATTTGGAAGCATTTGGAAGCATTTTTAATTATTTGGATACAAGCCTTATTTACAATTTAATCGTTATTAGCTGTGTCATCGTTGTTTTCTATAATAGATAATAACTACAAGATATGAGGCTTTATTTAAAATCAACAAAATTAATAAATCTCTGCTACGTTTATCTTATCTCAAAAATTTTGATTGCTATATACAATATATACATTTAAAAAAAATCTTCCTGTATTATCTCATGAGAACAATTGCACATATCAAATCGCTTGAAATTTTTGATATTTATGATACAAGTGGATTGTTGAACACGTGACTCTCCTATTCTTCAAGAAGTCAATAAGATGTAGGAGAATGCGTGTGTGGCACTTAACAATTTATGAAGAAAGAAATAATTCGTACGCACATACCATTGATCGATCGATCCGTCCGCCTCGTCGGAGAAGACAAGAGTCTTTGGTCACACTTCGCATAAGTTCTGGAAGACGTATTCAGAGCTCGCGCTGAAATTGCTGATACAACATCCTACTACATTCGTTTTGCAAAGCTCACACATTTCATTGCAAATGAGCCATCGTTTGTCGTGCATGCTGGTATATAGAAAGAGCTCGGATTTCATCAAGGCACGGTGCCTAGGGCTTAGAAAGGAATATGTTTACGGAAAACGATAGAATTTTTTTTTTTAATGGGAATCCTCGATTCAATTACCATTGTAATCAAATTGATTATGTAAAAATGTTATTTTATTATATGTTAGTGATCAATATGTTAAAAGAAATATTTGCATCTTCTGTTTAGCATATTTCGATCGCGATTAATGTCAAGTACTTTTAAAGTACATATCTCTGCAAAATAGAAATAATATTAAACAATTAATAATACTCGCAGTAAAAGTACTATATCAAATATAATATCATTTGATATGATTGCTATAATTACAATAAATATAATGCATTTTCATATTACGGACATTTTTTAGTTTTGTATCTTTATTGCTGCTCTTAATTAAAAATATAATCTTATTGATTTGCATCTGTCTTTTCCTCAATATTTATAACGTATAACTTGTTTATCAGTTTTTTTCATCTAAAAATACTTGTCATTACTGGAACGTCATTGTTGGATTGTGCACGCGTAAGGTGAGCACGAGGTCGTAGACCTCGTGATTGCTTAAAGATCGTTGCGAGATTCGTTTACTGCTTCTTCAGCAAATCGTGTATCGGGCAATGAATTCCGCCATGCCATTCGACGCATTAAACCTGCCAAATTTATGGGACAACAAATAATACGAACGGCTTGGAACGATAAATCATATAAAAAGAAGCGTACAATTTTTAGCTTGTTAATTATATACGAGTTTCATCGTAATAAAAATCTAATTTACTTTTTCGTGCGCGTTAAAAGTTTAAAAGTATAAATTCGAATTTATAATGTATGTTATTAATTCAGATAGACGTTTAATCTTCTTTTTCTTCCGAAGCTGAACATTCCTTTACATTTACATTTATTCAGCATTGATCTAATGAACTTTTCCAGAGATAATAAGAAACTGAATATCATTACCACGAAAAGAATTCTTAATGGATTTTATATACTTAAGCATAAATAAATTTTCCTCTAATTATTGAAATAAATAATGAATTGACGATTTTTTTTATAACAGATAGGCTTCAAAGGCTACGGTTTAACTCCAGCGAAGGTGAATTCCGTGGGGAAGTTTAAATACGAAGAGAAAGAGTACGAATTGAAACATGGCTCGGTAGTCATTGCGGCTATTACTAGCTGTACGAATACTAGCAATCCTAGCGTTATGCTTGGTGCAGGTATGTTACGAATTTTTCCAAAAAAATTTGTTACAGTTATACATAATGTTACACATAACATTTTATAATTTATTACATTTATGCAAAATATTTGCAAAAAAACGTTAAATAGAATCGCGAAATAGAGCTTGTTAGCGCTACTTTGAAGATCTAGAGTTATCGACTTTTGTTAACGCATTCTCACGAATTCTTAGACTTTAAAAGCGCTGCTGAATCCGAAATAAAATTAAAAACGAAAGTAATGCTTTAAAATAATTATTAAAATATTATTAGCTTAAACATTTTGTCTAAAAAAAAAAGCTTTATACTTTGAAATTTAAATTAAAAATGGAACACTGTTGCATAAACAAAGAGAAAGAAATATAAACATTTAGTTTTTTTATTGTTAATGTGAAAATTTAAACAGCGCTACTATTTAATTGTAAAAGAAATAAAGCGCAGTTTTATGAAAATTGTTGTAAATTAATAATATGTAAGATATGCTGTTCTGATACACAGGTCTTCTTGCTAAAAAGGCGGTGGAAGCTGGCTTGAGCGTTGAGCCATATATAAAAACATCATTGTCGCCTGGCTCAGGAGTCGTTACTTATTATCTCCAGGAAAGCGGTGTTATTCCGTATCTAACGAAATTAGGCTTCGACATTGTGGGTTACGGATGTATGACCTGTATCGGAAACAGTGGCCCGCTTCCTGACGCTATAGTCGAGACTATTGAAAAGGTATAATAATTGGCCGATTCTATATTTGAATTCTCACTGTACTTGAAACTCCCTCAATTTTCGCAAAAAAGGTAGAAATAATTCGATAAATTATCGACGATTATGATATTTTTACATATAAACTAACGTTAAATATATATCTTGTAGAATGAACTCGTTTGCTGTGGAGTTTTGTCAGGCAATAGAAACTTTGAAGGTAGAGTCCATCCGAATACCCGGGCGAATTACTTAGCGTCCCCACTTCTGGTGATAGCCTATGCCATTGCCGGCACTGTGGACTTTGACTTTGAGAAGCAACCACTAGGTAAGATGTGAAATTTTTTTTGTTTTGGATTTATAGAGACGTATAAAATACATAATTTACATGAAGTTTCTGTTATCTTCAAGGTCGCAAAGCCGATGGTACTCCAATATTTTTGCAAGATATCTGGCCGACCAGAGCGGAAATTCAAGCCGTCGAGCAGAAATACGTCATTCCAGCCATGTTCAAAGAAGTCTATGGTAAAATCGAACATGGCAGCGATAATTGGGCAAACTTAGTGGCACCTGACGGCAAACTGTATCCGTGGGACATTGATTCTACGTACATCAAAGATCCACCATACTTCGATAACTTGCAGAAGGTCATTAGATGTATAATCTATCGCACTCTGAGTACTTAAAATATTTGATCTTGAAATTTTTGTCAGACTAATCGGATTGAAAAAAATCTTAAAAATTATTACTGAAGACATTTATGCGCTAAGGAATAATTGTGTCCTTGTAAAATTTTAATTTGTAAAGTGAAAACGGTCTTACAGGAGCTACCGCCAATAAAATCGGTCACAAAAGCGCGAGTGCTCGTAAATCTTGGAGATTCCGTTACGACCGATCATATTAGCCCGGCGGGCAGTATCGCGCGTAATTCGCCAGCAGCCAGATATCTAGCCAATCGAGGGTAAGTTTGACATCAATGGAGATAGCGGAGACAACGCACGACATGCGAACTGGCCGAATTTCTGACAATGATCCTCGTTTTCAGCTTGACGCCGAAAGATTTCAATTCTTACGGCTCGCGCAGAGGAAACGACGCCGTGATGGCGCGGGGCACATTCGCTAACATTCGTCTCGTGAATAAATTCATTGGTAAAGCAGGACCACGAACAATTTACATTCCAACTAATGAAGAGGTATTACTATATGTTTGCTTTCTCGCTCTGTGCATTGATTTCCCGCCGCTTGCATGATAATTTCAAAAATTTAACATTCGTTTAATATTAATCCGTTTCGATCCTCACAGATTATCATACGTACATTTTGCATTTTTTTAAATATATGATTTAAATATATTGAATAGAACTACTTAAAAAGTGACATTATCTACGGAGTTTTTTCAGAATATGTATCGGTAGCGCGAACGTGTTAATAACTGGTTGAATGTTTTTAGATGGACGTATTCGATGCGGCCGAGAAATACACGAAAGACGGGACGTCTTTGATCGCTTTAGTTGGCAAAGAATACGGATCCGGATCTTCCAGAGATTGGGCCGCCAAAGGACCATATCTACTCGGTATTCGAGCAGTCATAGCAGAGTCATATGAAAGAATACACAGGCAAGTGCTTTTGTTAGTCCACACTATTTTATATAAACTTTTCAAACTATTATTTACTTTCGATCAAATTTAAGTACAGCTTTTTACAGATTTGTAATAAGTTTTTTTTCTCCCAGATTTAGTCAAGAATTACCTTGTGTTTAAAGTAAACAATTTTAAGAAAAAAAAATATTAAGAATTCACTTTTTAAACGTAATTTACAATTTAATGCGTATCTACATTAAAATTTTTTTTATTTGTTTGCAGATCCAACCTTGTGGGTATGGGCATTGTTCCGCTACAGTATCTCCCTGGAGAAAACGCAGAGACCTTGGGATTAACCGGTTACGAGCAATATGACATCGCGATCCCCACGAATTGTCAACCCGGAGAAAAGATTACTGTGAGCACAGACAATGGCAAGAAATTCGACGTGATAGCACGATTTGATACGGAAGTTGACTTAACTTACTTCAAACACGGTGGTATTCTCAATTACATGATTCGAACGATGCTTTGATGAGTTAAAGAGAACAAGAATATATATAAATGATCCTCTTACAAGGCTACTTAATGAGATACTTAATATTGGTTTTGGGATATAAAATGTTGTATCTCTTTTAAACAAGATTGAGTTTTAAATACACGAATAAAATGTAGAGTAAGGATATATTTTGCAGACGCTATCGTAACAAATGCCTTTTTTTCTTTCATCTAAAATGATTAACATTGGCATTTGCAATATTTAATGCCATGAATTAATATATTTATTTCATAACATTTCAAGTTTTATTAAGTCTTTACGCTGTAATAATTTTATGGTGAAAGTAGTCCACAGTTAAACGGAAACGCAAAGCTTATTAATCCAACAAATTCTTTGCCATCGTGCGAAAAAAATTGTTTTTTTTTATTATTTTATAAACGTTATATATATATATATATAGGAAAAATTATATCGTCTTTGCTTTTGTGTATGCATCGCAGTAATAATAAATCGTAAATAATATTGTTGCAATACAATTGACTTTATTATACAGGCTAATTCTTAATTATGTGTCAATACTTCAAGGTGAAATATCTAGAAAAAAATGTCATACGAACACAAGTTGGTATATTAATTACAGCTATAAAGTATTGACATATAATTATATATAGCACAATAATTGCAATACGTATCATTATAGTTTATGGTAAAGTATATCGCCGTTTTCATATTTAAAAACATGCACCACTTTTTACAAAGTACATGACACTATTCAATATTCCCAGAATTTGATTTCGTCCTTCGTATCTTCCATGTCTGTCGTCACAAATTGCAATTAAATTTCCAGCACGAAAACTTTTTATTCGACTCTACCTGCAGCTGCCCAGCAATCCACATGACGGATACAGTGACTTGTAATCAAACTTCTGATTTTTTGAACGGGTTTCTGAGAAGTTCAATTCCCTCACGTGCCTATCTGTAGCGCAGTACAGATGTACGTTATCAAATTGTACAGAGTAGATTGGGCTGCGTGAGCATCGAGATGACGATCGCGATGATGAAGTCATGTAATACAGCTAGAAATATTGAAGAAAAAAGTTTAATCATAAACAACTTGCAATGTATAAAGCGCTGTATCATCGCGTTTAAAGTTGATAAAAACCTGAACAAAATCACTCTTCCTCTGATCCCACAGGACAGCTAAACAATTATACTGCGTCCCTGTCACCATGGTGTACTGATGATCGGATGAAATGCAATACAATGTTGCGTCGGTTGGATCCGCCCACGAGCAAACGCATTTTCCAGTTCTACAATCACAGTTGTTAATGTTACATGTTAAAATAGTCAATCGATCGAATAGATCGAGCAGTCGAAATATCTCACCTCAAGTCCCATTTTCGGATGTACGTGTCATAGCCACAAGTGAGTAAAGTGTTGGGATCATCCCATACCATGTCTAATATTCCAGCGCCGTGTTTCCACGCGTGTCGCATTGTATCAACTGTTGTGTAACTGAAATCTCTCTGTTAGTTTTTTGCAAATTATTCGATACGCATTAAAATCGTATCCAATTTATAAATTTCGATGGTGATCAATTAATTGCAATATTACCGCTCGATATCGATTACATGTAGTGGTGAAACGTCAGAAATTCCGGACGAGCCGACGGCAAATTTTGTTGCCGTAGGATTAACTGAGAGCGATTGCACTTTATCCATTAGTCTTATACAGATCTCTTCGTCGTAAACGGGCCTATCCATATCTGGATGTCTCTGTATCTAAACGAAAATGTGAATCTTATTGTACGCTGCCATACCGCATCAGAAAGCAGATTCTTCAAACCTTACCTTTATCGTACCACATTCTAAACCCGCAATAACATTCTCCGATGTAGCATCTATAGCATTGACGCAAGACCGATTGTTCAAAAGTCCATTTACAATGAAATATTTGTTTTTTTCAACTTTCTCAGAAAACTTTCTCAAAAAATAGAGTATAGTGCCGTTTCTGTCGAGTTTTTTTTTTAAGTATGAAGGTTTAAATATGGTAGAAATAAAAAATGATGAAAACACATATAATTAGCTAAATATATATACATACGTATAGCCACATATGATGAAGTTTTTCCAAAGAACGAATTTGCAGATGTCACCTCCTGTGTATTGTTCTATATAATAGAAATCGTCTTTTTCATATATATCTTCTATTAAAAGTTCATCTAATTGTCTTTCGTCGCTTCGATTAAAGCCAACAAGTTGATTACCACCGCACCACCAAAGTATATTGTTTGACAATTTTAACCATGGCATGAGTCTTGTTTTCCGCGTAAATATCGTTTTTTTTTTGTATATTCCATAATGCCAGTTGTAAGATACGCGCCACGTTGCACGTGGACGCAATATTGTGAGACACCTTGAAGTAACAATTTTTTAATTTTTATTTTATTCCTTCATACATATGTAAATGCTGTAGTGTCTTGTAGACATGCACGTTAAATACACAGCAAGAAATAAGAATATCTCGTTATCCATCGTATATATTGAACGACTATTACGTTCGTAGTTAAATTTACTTCATTCAAAGTCCAAATTTAATAAACAAAGAGAGAAATTCCAGAAAAAGATGAAGTAGAGGTTAAACGCAGCCTAACCTTTCACGAAATCTTTTCGTCGCTTGATTCGTGGCGAGATATCTTTTACTCTTCTCGACCCAGGCCACATCTGATCGTATGATCTCATAAAATCGCTTGCACACTTCACTGAGCCGCAACAAATCGTATTCATTGCAATAATCGAAGATTAGCAACAGTACATCGCTCGGCAAAACATCCAAACGCCAAGTATCTGTCATCTTTCTAACCATAAAATTGTAGTTCAGTGTTTTTAGCGCATCTCCCAGTTCCCACGTGACATGCGACACGTTATTCGGTATCATTCTTTCAAATTTTAAATAAAATAGAATAATTTTTTGTTTTCCTTTTTGTTTTTTCATTTATCATTATTTTATTTAAAATAATAAAAGATGAAAAACTAATAATAATTTTATTTCACCCGGAAGAGGAAAGAGATACTTTTTTAAGTTCATGTAGAATAAAATGCGATTTACTTTAACTTATATCTTTAAATGACGTACGTTTACGTTTACGTTTTCAGATAAAAATGAAAATTATTACATGACGAAGAATTTTTATATTAATTTGATATAATATGTCTTGCATTAATATTTTTATTTTTATTATATGTATATATATCTTTTACATATATATATAAAAAATTAAAACATTAATTTTTAGTATCATTTACAATAAAGATAAAATATATTTTTGATATATGTATATATGTATATCGGGTGTAACTTATATATACATATATATGTTTTTCCCGGTATCTAGAGTTCAGAAAGAATTTATTTGTATATATATTTATAATTGTATGTCATCAATGCAATGAGTTCATTTTCAGGTGTAAAAAGAATTAATTCTTTTCCAGAAAATTTTTTTGTTTTTCTTTCAGAAATTGATGACATTTGACTGAATTCTTTTTGAACTCTCTGTACTATCTGGGTTTGATGTATAAAATGCAATACGTATCATTCAGCTACATCGCAGTGCTTTTGAGCGTCGTCAGGTTTCCTCCATTCAACATTATTTCGTGTGTCTGTAATAAAAAAAAGTACCTTTTTTACAATGTTCTAAAAAATAATAGTAAAAAGCCGTATTCCGTGAATTAAAATTACTTGACTCCTTACCTGGTGTTTTATGTTTTAAGTACAAAATGTGAAGAATAAAATACATGAATGCAGAAAATGCCGCTAGTACTGAAAATATTTTTAAAGTCGTTGCACCACCGACTTTCTTGTATAAAATACCTCCAATTAAACTGCCTATCGCGAAACCTGAAGATATTGCAATATTTCAGCGATGATAAACTTTGATTGATTAGGAAAGAATATATTTATATTACTAATTGTGTATGTACATTCTCCTTGTTACAAAATGATTCTTGATAATTAAGGAATTAACTAATTCCCTAAACCGTCATCCATCCCTGCCACAATTCCTTGAACAGTAGCTGATGTGCCGGGTGGTGATACTGCGCTCGCGTATGCCACTATTGTTGTATAGCAAAGCGCATATGTTGGTCCTTGCATGAAAAATTCCACGGGAAACACCCACCATGGCGTTGGAGCAAGAGATATTAGTCCCAGCCGCAACGCGTAGCATACAAAACAAAATGTAAAGGTGTAACCGTACCCAAATTTCTTTAGTATTTTGCCTGAAAAAAAAAAAGATTCAACATTATACGTAGCGATATCTTTAATTATGCAAACGATCTACATGCCACAAACTGTGATAGAGAAATAATTTACCAGATAGAGAGAAGAATATTATCTCGCCACCGAGAGTCTGTGCGGCTACGATTAGACCTTCTATTAATTTAATTTCGCTCATATAACCGGTCGCCATAGCAAGATCTTCCAAATACCTAAGGACAATAAACTATAACACTGAATATAATTCGGCCTAATTAAATTTCGAAATTTTATACGACGGGTAAATAAAAGAATACATGTATTAATAGAAATAAAGATTTACCAGAACAAAAAGTAAATCATAAAGCTATCCAAGATACCCGCAAGGGTGGCAAAACATAAAAATATAACAATAGGTTTCAATTTCAAAAGAGTCCATATGTCTTTCACTATGCTCGACGAGCCTGACATGAGCGGTAACTGTAATAAGGATATACAATGTAAGATGAAAATCATAAGAGGAAAACCGTGCTACCGTTCATTTCGTTTAATTTCTTTCTTCTTAATCCATAATGTAATCACCTCTAACTTTCTGCAACAGATCAAATCGACGGATGTAAATACAAGCACAAGGAGAAACGCCGGTGTGTAAGTTTTGTAGATATCCCCTTGCGACCATAAATCTACTGTGAACCCAGCTAAAAGTGCTGCTATACCGAAACCGATTGTGCCCCATACTCGCTGTCTGCCGTACCCCATTTGTCCACCTTCACCTGAGGAAGGTAAGATTTGTTGTGGAAAATATTTCTCTTTTATTTGAATTAATATATAAAATTATTGTTAAATCGTTTATATCGTAGAAATTTGAGTTGTATGTACATGCAGGCATTTTTATATTTCACATATATAGCTGCACTGTATAAAATATTTAATATATTCCTACAAATCACTTACCTAATATGTCAAAGCATATTGCGTCGCTTATGCAATTGGAAACATTAAAACCGATATTACCGAGAGACATTAAGAGCACGAATCCCCAGAAGGTAATGGATGTATATAGACAACGATTATCTTCAAAATTATCGCAAGTAACATTACAGCTATGATTGTTCACTATAGTTTCTCCATGACACAATGGCATCTCATCAATATTTAATAAGCATGTGGTATCCGATGAAATATCTGCTTCCTTTTTAAATTCGTGAAAAGATAATCTCGTAGAAAAATTCGCATCCTTGCATATCCAATGACATGTAGTATCTTTTCTACCGTTACACGATGCCATTGCTGAAGTATGCTTAAAAGAAAAATAAATAACTTAAAAAATATACTGTTAAGCATTTTATAATACAGATATTTTTAAAGACTTAGTATTTCGAAACTAATTGAAATTTTCAGAAACTTATAAATCATATGTAAAATTTGTTTTATATATAAAAATAAATTTACTTTCATGGAAGTAAACTCTCAGTTTTTAATCAATTGTTATAGGAATTTTATTATCTAAAATATGTGTAAGAAAATTAGAAATTACATTGTCCATATCGCAAAACGGTAAAGACGCACAGGAAACATTTTGAAACTGGTGATCTGGCAGAAGTGGACCGGGCAGAGCCGGTAAAAAGTACATAAAAATATAGCAGCTACTTGTTACGGCAAGCAGCGCTATAAATATCGATTTTCTCCAGGCGCGGAAATAGTCCACGACAAAGCCAAATGCTGGTTTCGCAATCAGAAATAAAATAGGCAGAATCGCGGTGATGCTACCCATAATTAATGGCGAAACACCAAGCTGCTTGCCGTAAACTGGCAGAAACGGCAATATAGGACCCATAGCTAAAATAAAATCAATAATTGTATACTCATAAATACTTAATAATATTAAAAATATCTAATTTATTAAATTATTAACAACTTAGTTTATAATATTTTCGTAATTACTGTATAGGTTTTTTGTATAATAAGAGTACATTAATTATGTAGAGTTTTCTTAACATTGAATATAAACCAAAGTATGTTCTTATTATTTTTTAATGTTACGAATATTTTTATATTTATATATTCTTTATGAAAGTTAGATCTTTAAAATGTGAGATATTTAAAGACATTATACATTTTATGATTACTCACCAGCCATAAAAAAGAAATAATGCGCCTTTATAGGCAGTTGTGTATAATTAATTTTCATGATTTATATTTATGAGTGCAGACAGATATCGACAAAGCCCAGCAAATCTCGTAGCTCATTATCTCACGTATCTACTTCGGCGTTTTCTCATGCTAAATTGTCGCCATGCTGCAAACTAATAATGTCAAATGTAATAATTAATAAACTTACTTACTAGAATAATATGTATGATGAATATACGTAATAATATGACGTGGAAATGTCACAGAAAATATTTTACAAGTGTATTACACGACGCGATCATAGTAAACGGCTTAACATAAAGATTACACGTACATTTGATATTTTCATTCGAAAATTATCGTCAGCACTGTGCACGCATTTTGAATTTAAATTTTCTCGATCCGCGATATATCGATAATCTCGAAGTATTGCTTGTAAAAACTTCAAACGATTACATTACAAACGATTCTAAAATGGCGTTACACGATACCACGATCATCATCTGCATGTCATCTGTGTCAAAAGAATCGATGCACGTTTCAGGCAGATTCAAAGGTTTTTAAGAAGGCTCGCGATAAGTTCTCACTCGTCCACCACATTTTTCGTGGAATCGTCGCAATTATTATTTTTTCTCAAAGAAGGAGGTCGTCGATGAACTCACTGTGTTCAGGTCGCCTGCACATTCAGCGTCAAGCTCACACTCCGACGATTTTTCGTTCGTAGAGTGAGCCTCCAGCTCTTAATCACTCGATAGGCCGCATGCTCTCAGCGATACGGTTTCAATGTCGGAGCGATGAAAGCACCCACAGTTGTATATGTGTATCGAATAGATGTGCCTGCTGCACTTTCTGCACTTATGGAACGAGATGCACGCGATAGGAATAAACCGGAATATTAATTAAGGCTTCGACAGAGAGGAACGTACGGAGAACCACCAAGGAGAAAGTAGCAAGCGCAACTAAAAAGCTGCTTTCCAGAACGTGCGTTGATATTACTGCTGTTGGCATCAAAATTTTAGCCGTTTCAAAATTTGTTCAAACTCGACGCAGCAGATTTTGGCAGCGCTAGAAATCGGAATTGCTTGCAACATATATATATTAGTAAGTGAAATACAATACAGCTTAAATGAGAAGACTGTGTATACAACAGTCGAGAGCTTTGACGCGTCATAAATGTCTTAGCGTTCACTATATAGACGCGAGCACTATACTTCCTTTTTTAACGAGAAAGCGCGTCGTGTCTTGCACTGACGCAATGCACTAAAATTAAACGACGATCACGATATGCTCGACAGAATTAAATGGATGCGACAATGGTGACTTTGATGGTGACGCGCCGTACAATGGGATGATCTCTTAAAACCGCGATCTCGAATGACCATTAAACGTACTGATCGTCGCGCAAAACATTGCCCCTCGTTATTTCGATCATTGTACGACACACACGTGAATCTAATAAATCGTTCAATGACGCGCACTGTACACTTTTGATGCTTACTTAAACGAGATTTATCACGAGGGAGATTGATAAGGCGAATATCTCGCGGAACGTACTGATGGTTTTCGCGATTTAATATCGCTACAAGCTATTATCAATAAAAATAATTATCGTGAAAATCAAATTATAATAGAATCAATTCTAAATTGCTCAAAGAACTTGCGATTACGAAACATCTGGCGATATCATAACATTCTGTATTTGCAACCTAAGATAAGAATGTGATAACGATATAAAATTACAAAGAAATTACGATTCTTCCACTATAGGTTACTTTGGCATTACGTTCTGCTTGAAATCACGAATTATATATACATATATATTAAATTCAAATAGCAAACTGAGCAAAGTTAAAAAACATAATGTTTATTTTATTCTATTACTCTAAACATTTCGTTATCATCATGATGCTTTTTATAATTATAATTACATAATACAAATGATATTGCAATGTTCATCAATATTTGCATAAACACATTTGAATAGAATCTTTAATATATAGTGTATTAATTATTATTTTCATATATATAGTACATTTAATCGTTAAATAAAGCTTAATTGTCACGCACATAAAGATAAAGTCATAAATTTAATAGCTTGTTTGCACAATTAATTTCATTTTTGATATAAAATCTACAAAATTATTAACTAATTAAATCAGTGATATGAAACATATATATATTTTTTTTTCCTATTTTATTGTTTTATTTTAACATCAATAAGCAAATATAAAAATAATAAAAATATAAGAATATCAAAAGTAAAAATAATTCAGGTATAAAATAATTTAATTACATAATCCTATAATTATATATCTTTCTTCGAATTATTTCAATCCTCATTACTCCAAATTTTAAATAAACAATGTGATATAGTAATACATTTCTCTTTTATATCGCAGTATTTCTTACAGATATAAAATACTTGTAATAAAATAATCAAGCAATATATGCCCTCAACAAATCGTAAATAACGTTCACTACATCGCGAATTAAATAAAAATAATTATGTATAATGTATATATCTTTATATTATTCATATATTTGAATTAAACTTTTATAACATAACATTTACTAAAATATCATTTATTAAAATTTCTAAAATATATTATTATTTACAAAGAAGATATACATACATGTAATGTAACATAAAACATGCGCGCATTACATTTCATCCACAATACATTCTCTTCGTGCATCGTCAGGTTTTCTCCATTCAACGTTATTTTGTATGTCTGCAACAAGAAGGAAGTTTCTTATATCTTCAAAATCTAAAAAGATTTTGGCAAATCAAGTTAATTGATTGATTTCTTACCTAATGATAACGTTGCATGTTTCAAGTATAAAATATAAAGTGTAATGTACACTAAAGCAGCAAGTGCTGCGAGTCCTGAATATATTCTTAGAGCCATTCGACCACCAACATTCTTAAATAAGAAACCACCAAAAAAACTACCAATCGCATATCCTAAAAGTGTGTGACATTACACATATTTTGCTAATTTAATTGTGCAA